TTTTGCCTTCCTGCAGCACTGAAATGAATGCAGAATCCCTCTCTTTTAACATCCACACATTAAAAACAAAACAAAAAATAAATATTTAAGAGGATAGAAAGGCTCAGATTGGTTTTTATATACATTGCACTTGAAGTTTAAGACCTAATGCTTGCAAATTAGGTCTGAATGGTCTATACCATTAAATGAATACATTGTGCTCACCAATATAATTGACTATTTTGAAACACCAAATGTTTAATATAGTGGCATATGCTCTCTTCTTTTTACAAGGCAATCACAGATTGTAGATTCTATAGGGCTGTGGATTAAAAAAAAAAGAAAAAAAAACCTCAACAACAAACTATTCTGGGGTATCAAAGAAATAAATCATCTTGGCTCTTGGAGATTGAAGTATACAACAGAGATTTTTTTTTTAAATGTGATTACAGATTTGATACAGATTTCATAAACTGAGGTGAAAATTTCAATGGATCAGTGAACTATGATTTTTCATTGCCTTTTGCCTTCAGTAAGATTGTCTACACAAAATTCCACAGATGGAAGGAGGAACTGCCTGTGTGTGTGTGTGTGTGTGTGATCATGAGCTTACGAGCAGGGTCTGCAGCACTAGACAGCCTGCAAGGGGCTTCTTCCATCCCATGGCTCAGAAACCCCAACTGGAGCACAAGATCCTCACATACAAGTGTTTTGTTTTTCAAAACACAACCCTATTTTTAAATTTTTTTTTGGATAAATATTATTCTTATTATACTATACTTACCTGTTAAGCACCATCAACCTGTCTCCTCTGGGCACTGTTACAAAACCAATACTTGGGCATTAAGTTTAGTTCAAGGCTTTGAAATATGGCAACTTGTTTTAATCATATAAACGGACTCAATACTTGAGAAACTGGCCCTGGGCTGGACTCCCACCCACAGACTGTGATCACATTTCTCCAGAGCACAGACAGGTCTGAGTGCAATGAATCCAGGTCAGATTTCAAGATAAGTAGTTCTTCTTTCCACTTCACTATTGTAAAATAGGTACTTTCCCAGGAGTCAACCGGACAGGCAGCCCAATCAAAATAGATTATTTAGGAAAAAGATCATCTTCGTCACAATCCATTATCACCGATTTTCTCCCCAAGTCGTGTTTATTTTTCAGAATCAGTGCGTTTGAAACTCAATCACTATGTGGCTTTTCAGGACCACCCATAGCCAGCTGTCATCCTATATTTCCTACTGTTACACCTCCTGAGAAAAATATGCATGGGAGCCAAGATCGAATATTCCGGAAATCTGAGGATGTATACCAGCTGCTGTCCCACAACAGGGAGGAACCCACGGGGCAGAAGAAAAGATTGTGGCAACTACTTCTTCAGGGAAAAGAGTGACATTCCTCTGTATCTTTAGCAGGTTGAGCACCAGGGCCAGGACAACTCCAACTGAAAACAGCACGAGGCTTCTGTGCACCAAGTGATGATGCCAACTGTTAGTGTGGCTGCTGCTACTCTGCAGCTGTGACCACTCACACCAGCGTTCTGAGGCCTGTGTCCATGCTGCTCCGGGCACTAGGGTCCGCCAGCACAGAGGGACTGGAAGCAGACTCATCCGCTTTTGCTGCCAGCCCTCTAGGGCTGACTCTTGAGAGTTTTGTATACCTCTCGCTGGCAGGGCAGAAACAACTTCACAAGTGGTCGGCCAGTCTGGGAATCAGTGCCCACCACATTCTGAGATAAGTTTCCTGTTGGAGGGGTGCCCGCCAGCTGGCTGTGAGTGACGCAGAAGGTGGGGTTGGAGCGAAAGAGTCACTGCGGCCCAGACTAGCCCCAGAGTCCCCCGCTCCTGAGAGCGGTAAAAGGTTTATATAGCAGACAGCAAAGCACTTTACCCCGGCGCAATT